GATTTTGCAACTCACATTAAGATTTTTGGCAAAAATTTTAGCATGTTTCATTGTGCATTATAGTTCATTGAGGTAATTCGATGCATTATGTGTTGTTTGTGGTGTTGGTAATTGGTGATTGGTGTTATGAACGTTGGGATGATTAGTTTGGAGTAAATTTTGATTTCTAGTCAAGGTTGTCTGTTGGTTGACCGAACTTGGGATTGCGAGTTTGCATTAGTTGTGTTTGTGATTAGTTGTATTTGTTTGGAGTGCCGTTTGGTGGCGTGGTACGTGAATTGTGTTTTGGGTATTGCATTGCTGTTAGGGATACTTGGTTAGTCATGTCATGTCTTCACATCCCTTACATCTAGGTATCGCGTCATGACATCGCGTCCCTACGTCATGGCATCACTGCACGCGTCATGTCTTCATGTCACTTACGTCTAGGACTCATTAGATGTCATCATGCATTCATGTTAGGGTACGTTGCTTGATTATCATATCTACCTTGTTTTGCATGCATTCTTGCTTGTCATGCATATCATGAGTTCATCTATCATTTGTCGAAGTTTTTAATGTTTGTGTAGTTCGATTCTTTCAGATGCCGCCCAAGAGAGCACACATTTCTACTTCGACTCCTAGTACTTCGACTTCTTACAGTCAAACTAGGTTCATTTCTGCTGTTGCCCAGGATGTTTTTGGGTCACATTTTTCACTTCGTTCTGTCCTCTTTAAGCGCGAGGTCATCATGTTTGACCTTTCACCTGACCTCGCTGCTATCTTCACTTCCCGGGGCTGGGAACCCCTTCTTGTTGAGTTGACACGTCCTCCTTCTTTGTTAGTTCAGGAGTTCTACGCTAACATCCATGATGTTAGTGGTCCTTTCTTTAAGGTTTTTCTTCGGGGTCGAGTAGTTAAGATTACTCTGGACGTCATTTCCAGTATTATTCATATTCCGAGAGTCGTCCACCCCCTGTTTCCCTATTTGACTCCTGATTTTTCCATCAGACACGTTAGTCCGTTCCAAGTACTTAACATACCGGTGGAGGGTGGTCCAGGTACGATGCGCACTGGATCTTTACCCACTGACCGATAGATTTTGTTGCGCATTGTGTGCACAAATATGTGGCCGGTTTCTCATACTTCTTCATTGCCTATGGAGAAGACTCGATTCCTGTATGCCATGCTGCATGGCGATTTTATTGATCTGCCTTTTTTTATATGCTAGCATATCTTATGGGCATTCAGGACCACGGGGACTCGGGTTGGGCTGCCTTATGCTTGTCTCATCTATAGGTTAGTCACTGCCCTAGGAGCTAGTTTTCCCGATGGGGTTCCGCGATAGGTTTCTCGGCCGATTGGCCATACCACTATTGCCCAGAGCAGGTCACATGCCTAATCCAAGCCAGCACAGCCAGTTGACCCGACTGTGCCGACTGATCCCATCAATGGCCTGATCTCTTTTGATCCATCCGATTTTTTGTCTGCTCATCCACCCTTCGATATTCCTTCTTTTTCGGTTCATCCTCCTTCTGCATTAGTACCTCCTCCTCTGCATTTGCTTCCATCAACCCCTCAGTCGCTCTCTTGGGACAAATGACTGTGCTGATTGAGCAACATGCTCTCATGATGGCGGAGATTACCCAGCTGCGTGCCACAGTGGATCGACACAATACCTAGTTTGCTTAATTCATGTGCTTAGTAAATATATCAAATTTCACATGAAAAGGCAAAAATTAATCTAAGCATGCAACTTATTCACCATTCATAGATCAATTCATGATTCAATATATTCGTCATTACCAGCCGGCCAACTAACTCACACAAAAATAAAATATTTTTATTATATTATTTTTTAAAAAATTTTTGACATTTTTGTCCAATTTTTCAATTTTTTTTAAAACAATAAAAGCACACAAAAATACACAAAAAAATAAAAACTCGTGTTTTCCACCCACAAACTTAAACTAGACATTGTCCTCAATGTTTTTAATCATAAATCTACATATAAAGGTGTGGAAAAGAAAATGAAGAAAAGACTCCCCTGATATGACATGTAATTGAATGGCTAACTTTCCTATTGCTCATGTTGGCTCCTTGGTTAAGTTTGGTTTAAATGTTCCGCGATGTCGTGTTCCTGAAAAATCAAATGAAACATTAATATCAAATAATTGGAACAAATGTGACTTAACTCTAATATCTAATAAACCAACTAACGTATCGAAGATCTAAGGAGAAGCGTGGTATGGATGATGAGTCACAAATAAACTTAAAATAAACAAAACTATTCTAAAACTCAAAAACAAAATAAATAAAAAGGACAAAAGCTTGGGTTGCTTCCCAAAAGGCGATTCTTTAACGTCATTAGCTTGACTTTGTACCATGTTTGATCATAGTGGCTCCAACCAAGATATGTCATCATTGCACTTTGTACAATTTTCATTTATGAACCCTTGTTTTGCTCTCCATATTTTGATATTTCCATTTTCATCTCTGCCTAGAAGTCCACCAAAGTTTGATTTTCTATTCTAGCAACTTCGTTGATCAGGTGACTCTTCTTCATCAAATCTACAACAATTATTGTTGTTGGAAGATTTCTCAAGTGAGGTATAAATATAAAATATATCTTGTTTGTCCTTCATCCTCAATATTAGCTCACCATTCTCCATGTCAATTAGAGTTCGACCTGTTGCGAAGAATGGTCGACCAAATATGATTGGAATGTCTCAATCTTCTAGTATGTCCAGCACAATGAAGTCCACCGAAAATATTAAATTCCCCACTTTTATGAGCACATCCTCAATTTTGCCACGTAGTTTTGAAATTGTTGTATCTAGTTGTAACTTTATTGATGTTGATTTGACTTCACCAAATCCCAATTTCCTATAAATAGAATATGACATTAGATCTATACTAGCACTCGTGTCACACAATGTATTAATAGCAC